TCAAGATTTTTTTTTTTTTTTTACTGGCAGTCTGAAAACTTTTTCTGACACTGATATGTTTTATGTCATGTAAACGTAACTCTTCTGTTGCCAGGCCCCTGTTTGAAGGGTTGGATCCAAATTTGGGGGTTTAGCACCAACCATAGTTTAAAAAAAAAAAAAAAAGTTTGGTTATCAGTAAAAAGTTTGCAGTAAAAAAAACTTACTGGGTTGGCAACCTTGCTTGCTGTAGCAAGGGTTTTATACTGTGCTACATACTACAAGAGTCCCCTAGTCACCCCCATACCCTGGTGCTCCCAACCACACCCATACCATGCTGCTTCAACCCCCAGCCTTACCCCTGCCAACCTTGCTCCTCCCATCCCAGTGCAGACCCTCAAGAAGCCTACTTGTGACCCAGCGGTATTACAGGCAGCTATAGCAGTAGCAGTAGCAACTGCACATGACTGGAGAGGGAGAATCTACCAAGTCCTGAGAGAAGGCTCCCTGCAGGATGAAGTGCTCCTGTTCAGACACCAGGTGGTGCTGCTGTTTTGTTTGTTCATCAGTTTGTCTCCAGCTCCTTTCCAACCAGTGAGCTTCAGTCAAGCTTGGTTGCTCAGTGTTTTTTATGGACAGCTCAGTTGTTTACAGATTTTAAAAACAGGTGTTTTTAGCCTGACTTTTTTTACTGGCTGTCTGTAAATTTACAGATAGCTGGCAATGTTGCTCCATGGGTTGTACTGAGAATCTGGAGGAGGGGACTCCTGAGCTTTGCATAGTGATCTGCATGCTATAGAGTCTGGCAGAAAGAAGGGGCAATGTATGGCTATTTGTAATGGGACAGTGTGGGATATACTGGAATTGAGATGTAGCTTTATTTGTGCAGCAGATATTAGTAACTATTCAGGAGAATAAGGGTATTATATCATTAGCCTTTGTGCAGGCAATTCTAGTAGCAGCAACTTGGTATTTATGAAGTGCTTTCTAGCCAGTTGACTTTCAGGCACCATTCCATGAGAGGTCTGGGCTATGCCACTTCGCAGAAGGCAAAATGGAGTCAGTGGAAGTTCTGGCCCAGAGAGACAGTTGTCAGAACTGCGGTATGAATTTGGGCACTTTAGGTACCCTTTGCATTCCCTTTTTGAGGCTTGCTGACCCACATCTTGGGTGGGCACACAAGTGTTTCTTTCAGTTGGGTATCCCAGAAGAATGTTCAGAGGCATTCACAAGAAATGGTTAAGAAAGAAGCAGGATGGAAAGTTAATTTAGTAGACATGGAATCTAAGCAGCGTAGCAGCAGGAAGAAAGAATTGATAAGCCATATTTTCCAGTGTGTAAAATGCATCACCCCCCCCCCAAGAAAGGGATAAAATTGAGATCAGGGAGAGCTTGTTAACATAAATTTCACTTGAATTTTGATCAATACTTTAGTACAGTAACTTTATTTTTTTTATATATATAGCATGTCTTCAGTATGTAAAACACATCTTTAAGTTAAGGACTTGCTTTTTCAGGGAAATATCCAGCCTTATACCCTGGAAAATCTGCTAAATGGGGGCAGTTTTGATAACTCCATAGAGGAACATGTAGCTTGGGCTGTGAGTTGTAGATAGTACCTGGTGTTCTGAACAAGCCTCAAGGGTCATA